AAGATTTTATTTATTCATTTTTTCCCCCCAAAGCCCCAGCAGATAGTTGTATGTCATAGGTTCACATCCTTCTAGTTGCTGTACGTGGGACTCGGCCTCGCGCTGGACGGAGAAGTGGTGCCTCGGGGCACGCCCGGGATCCAAACCCGGGCCGCCAGCATCAGAGCGCGCGCACTTAACCGCTAAGCCACGGAGCCGGCCCTAGCTTCTATTAATAAAGGTTAGCTGTTACTTTAGGCAGACCAGTATACTCTGGGGAGTAACTAGTATCTTATTAGGTTATAAATATATTTAATGGCTTTAGTACTGGTTTCTTATTTTGGAATATGAGGAAGAAAAAAGTAGAACTCACAATCACTAGACTCTAAGTAAAAAGCCACTATTTTTTATAATGTATATTTACCTACAATACTGCTTAGGAATTACCTTGTTTTTATAGAGCCCACATACTCCCGCAAAGGACAACTGTGGCTCTCCTGTAACTGCACCAAGCTACTTGCAATGGTACAATTGGCTTATCAGTTTGGAAGAAATTAGAAGTGGTACAAGATTATAAAATCAAGTTGTTTGGTTTTCTTTCAAACTAGTCCAACCAGTCCAGAAAAAGACCGAGACTTCTCTTCCCACCCTTACTCCCCTTCTGGTTTCTCATTAAGGGAAAAAATGCCATTTGTGCCCATCTTCATTCACTGAACTCTAAGAATAGAACATTGACCAAGTTTTCTTTAAAAGAACACAAACAGTTGGAAGGGCACAGAGTTCTTATCTTGCACTTTCTGCACTGAGACAGAACATATTTAAAATCATTTACCAAATAATGACTGTTAAATCAAGTTTAAGCTTACCTCATTTCCTGTTGCTGACCTGCTGACTGGTCCACTGACTGTGGGCAAATTCTAGAGCTGCGCACCCTCCAAGGTGCCCAGGCATGGAGACTGTCTCAAGGAACACTCTGGGGGTTTGGTGGGAAGCAGTCCCTAAACTGACGGCGAGGAAAGCTAAATAAACTGCACAGGTGTTACATGCTCCATCTGGGTAACACCCCTCACATCCCACCCGCTTCTGTTCCCAAATACAAATGAGCCACTTCATCTTTCTCTTTCTCCTGATACGGAACGGAACGCCGTGCTTCTCATCTTCACACCCCAGGGGTCTCCGCCCCTGCAGGAGCCATGTGTAGAAGACTGCTTCCTCAGTGGGCTGGACTGCTGGTCACCAGGGGCCTCGGCAGGGGACCCAGGAGGGGTGAAAGTAGGGGTCAGAGGGGTCACCATGCCACAGGGCCTGAGCTGTTTGCCCTTGGTCAGGATGGATAGGCTCCACCTCAAAAAAGGCTACAAATGGTTCTTCTGGACTTCTTCCTACACAGAGAATGGCTAAGCTAGCCGAGGCAACCTGTAGTTGGCTTCAAAATCAGCAATGGGGAGGGGAAGAAGCCTCACAACAAACAGTGGAAACAGAAGGCTTGTGTGGGAAGATGGTTAAGTTTGGTCTAAAACAAGCAGTGTCTCTGGTAATGAGCCATTGTTAGGAAATATGCGGGGCCCTCAGTGCCTACAGCACTTTTAAAGAGCAATGTTGCTGTTTCTCCAGGGTTTTTTTTTGGGGGTGGGGGCGGGCAAAGAGAGGTGAGGCAGACACCCAACTAAGGAGCATAGATAGAGGCATTACAGAGCAGGGGAAAAAACTACCTCCATGTGTTGTAGCCATGAAGTCCTGCACTTGAACTCCAGCTCCACCCCGCAGTCACTGCACCACCTTTGGTAACACATCTACCTTCTCTGAGTCACTGCAGGCTTGTGTGTGAAATGAGCATACCTCAGCATCAGCCTGGGCCCTGGCATGAAGCAGATGGCATACTCAGCTGGGGTGACGGACGAGTTTCATAAAGGGACTATTTACAAAGGGCATGGGCAGGGTTAAGGAACTCCTATGGGGACAGTGAAGCCCTCAAGGGCTGGTGATACAGGGAGTCAGGACCAATCCTCAGCTTGAAAGGGCACGGGGAAGGTGTCATTACCAAACCGTGAAGTTGCCTGACAGGAGCTGTCTTCCTTGGCAGAGGAGCCCAGCCACTGTCAACCCACCCTTGGCAGGAAGGAGCCCGGGGAGCAAATTCCCCGACTTCTCTCTCCTCATCTGCCAAGCTCCTTCTAGTGTCTCTGGTAAATCCTGACCAGAAGCCAGAAGGACAGGTCCACAGAGGCCAGGCTCCAGAGCGAGCACAGGGTGGGAATGGGATCTGGAGGAGCAAAGAGAGATTACCCAGTTCACCTAAACAAACACCTGATGGAGCTGGTGGGGGTTAAAATGAGATCATCATCTATGCCCGGCACAGCAAAGGGTCACTCACTACCCACTGGATCAGATTCTCTATTTGTCATTTACTTATCAAAAGGCCACAACATAACTTTTATCAGGTGGTAAAAGCCAGAATGAAAACAAAGACATGTGGTCATATCCTCAGAGTGAAAAACAAAACTTTTACAAAGTTGACAGATAACATTTATTAAAACATGTCATACAAAAGGGCATGGTCTCTTCTATAAGAAGAAAATATTAAACAGTAACATTCAATTAAGTAAAACCATGCTGTACACTGAAGACAGCAATATATAAAGACAAAACTATTCAACTTTTGCAACACAGGCATAACATTTCACAAAATATCAATAAGATATGCACCTAATGATAATCTGTTTATCATCAAATGGTTTTGTGGTGTAAGAGTCACCTGACTTGCATAAATAAAGTAATTTTCTGGAAGAAACATCGGGAACCTCATAAAAGGAAAGAAGGCAGCAGCAACTGACATTATGACACAGGCTTCAAGCAACACTAAAAAAAAAAAAAAAAGTCACATTTGCAAAATGTGTTCCAGCATCTTCCCATGGGGCACTATCAGTAGAGATCTGAAATAAGAAATATGTACCTTTAAATATATAACTAGCAAAGAAAAAACCCAAACAAACAAACCCTGGTTTCACTGAACAAAGTTAGTCACCCATGAAAGCAATTAAATCACAAAATTAGTGTGGCACAGATGCGGGCTGTGGGGTAGCATGTTGCTTGGTTTCTAGCATTCCTAAATTATCAGAGACCTTATAAAAGCAAACACCTGGATTTGGTGTGATGGAGTCCTCTCCAGCCTCACCCAGGAGGCGCAGCCACCCTCCTTCCAGAGAAAGCATAGCTGTGCTTCTGCCTGCCTCCACGTGCGCAGCAGCTTGGGGCTGTGCGTGCCTCCGCAGGAAGGAGTCCCCGAGACTAAGCAGCTTTCCCAAATAGCTAGAAGTCAGCTTAGGGTCAGTTTAGTCTGCAAATGCCCACTAGAATGGAGGAGACCCTTTGGGGCAGACTCTTTGAAAGTAGTGGCCAAAAGAAGGGACTGGAGCAAAGTGAGATCTAGAAATCAGAATCAACAGGCTGGGGCCCAGAAGCGCATGAGGGTGACCCTCAACCCTCGAGGAAAGGCTACCGCAGTCCTTCCTTAGTTAGCCAGTGATATGTCTTTACCAAGTGGATTATTGTCATGTGTATATCTAAAATTAAAGGCATAGTATAGGTACTAATATTAAATACCATTGGTGGTGCCTTGAAGCCCTTTCCCACTGGGATTAGAGAAAAACCACAGTTAAGACTCAAAGTGAGGGACAAATACCTTGGTTGTAGGCCATTGACACGATCCCTGAAAGACTGTTTGGAAAATGTTACCCACAACTATCCAAACTCATTTGGAAGGATAAAGATTTTCTAAAGCTGTACTGAGGCTAAGGAGAGAGACGATCCAACCCAGGATGGGCAGGAAAAAAAGGTAGTAATGATCTCCTAATCCTAAAAAGCAGAGTTTATAAAAATTCACTTTTAATATCCAAACTAAGGCAATCCCCTTCCCCTGCCTCTCTGAACACGGCCAGCATTTCAGATGCCCAACCATCTCACAGGGTCTGGTTCACCCAATTAGCAACCCTAATTTTTAGGGAAACCCCAACTATCACAAAAAACAACAGCAGATGTGAGGAACTTATACTTTAAATTCTACATTTAGTAGCTGATGTACATGTAAGAATTTCCATAAAAGATACACCTCTCTTCACAACACATTAAATAAGTCCCAGCACAACTGACTGCTTCCAAAACTACCACCCAAGGGCTGCCCACCACTCCTGGCTGAACAAGAGCTCTTCATTGTTACTCATGACGAGGGTGCCGTGTTGATTTCAGCCTAACTGAAGGACCATGATTTTTCCAGAATACTTTTATTTTACCTCTCAGACTTCCCAAACGTCCTAATGCTTATTTGAATATAATCTTTAATGGAAACAGCACATCAAACTTTCCAAACAGGCAGAAAATGGTGTGCTAATACCTGGGAGAGAGAGATCAGCTTTGGGCAGAACAAAACGGCTTCACTGCGTTAGTACTGAAATTAGTTGCAATAATGAAACAACTTCTCCTCACACATAATGGCAAGGATCACACCTAAAACCCACTGGCTTCTACCGTGAGGAAAAGAGAAGAAGCAATGGAGCTTGCCTGTACAGTCACCTCTCTACACTTCCGTCAGGTACACAGAGAAAGGACTGCTAACTGGTGAAGAGTCAACACTAAGAGAAGAGGATGTTAACGTGGCAAACAACCAAGAGGTAATATCTAGTTTCTAGGTTAAAAAAATCAATATATATATATTTATAATAAAGTTTTAAATACAAAGTGCTTTTTATATATCAAGAATGATACAGTGTTAATGAACAGATCCCTGTTTTGTAATCTTGATTATAAGAGTTAACTGGTAAATAAGTACTTTCTTTCCCCTTTCCAGACAACGTTCAACAAGCAAATGCCTTGGTGGTTGGAGCTTGAGGATCAGAGGCCATTGCCAGCAATGTCTATCACATTAGAGCAAAGCCAAACTTTTAAAACAAAATTTCACCCCAAATCCAAGAAGAGTTATTTTTATTTTAAAGAAAAAAAGTTTCCATGTGGAAGTAACAGACCAGTAAGTTTACGGAAAAGTTGACATAGTACTAGCACCCTGATCTACCCTGGTGATAACTTCAGGTATATTACACAGCCTACAAGCATCCTGAATATATGCTTCCTTTTTAACCTAAAACATCTGATCCGCAGAAAAGGTCTCAGAATAGCTGCTTTTCTTGTTGTTTTTTGGTAGGTATAGCTATGTGGACTTGTAAATTTATGCAGCTTTATCTATAATTTGGGAGCATGAATCTGTAGACTACTTTCTAAAATTAGGACTCCTTCTTTCCCCCTTTGAAAACACATTCCAGCACTCCTAAAGAACTGGCAGTATCAGCTCAGGGTACCCCTCTAAGAGTATCTCCCCCACCAGTGTATTTTCAAGACTCCTCTCTTCTTGGCCAGTTGTTTTTTTTTCCCCCCTAAGTATAACCTGCCACTCAAAATTCTGCTACTCGGCAAGTATCACTGTAGCACACTACTAACTCCTGAAAGTCCATGGGTAACTTTCAGCCGTGACTTTTGGCTCCTTCCCAATAACTGTGGCCTCTTTGGGAAGCACCATAATCTGTGAGAGAAACGCCTGGAGCAGTCAATGGTACCGTGGTCAGAGTCAAAGCAAATCCCATTGTGTGGATGCTACAATTCAGCAAACAGGATTTGGGACAGCAAACCAATTAGAAATACCTATCTCGGGCACTCTAGAGAATTACAATTAGATACAACTGCTCAAATTAAATGTTAGTACTAAAATACAAAACTTTGCCTTATCAAGAGTCTGAAATACATTGTGACAGCGGCATCTTACAGAAACTGAAGCTTGTACCATGTTATTTGTTTCATACTTAGAATGTCATCCTCTTAGTATTTCCATAGTTTTAATTAAAATACCATTTAGAAAGAATAAAACCAGACAAAAGAGCTGTTAATCAATTTCTCATCCTAGGAATCACATTATTTGTAGCTTTTACCTAAGTAGCATTTCATTCAGTGAAGCAGCTACCAAAACAAATCCACATTACCTAAGTATCTATAGTAAGAGCAAAATGAAATTCCAACATGACCTTGTAATATGAGTGATCAAAAACTGCTGCCACCTGACATGGAACTGGGGGGCTGGAATCCAGTTCCCACTGCAGGTGTCTCTATCACCAAGTCCACCTGCCTCAATCACATGGGCCTCAAGGTTTACCTTGCCAGCTGGGAGGTGGGTGAACCTACCCCCTTCACCCCCTCTAGGCCTGGACTGGAACATACAAATCTGAGGAATTAGACTTTTTAATTGGCCTACTTAGAGCTGGTCTTTCAGAAATATCTTCCTTTTTTTTTAAGCTTCTCTCATAATAGCAAGTAGCACGCATCATCTGTGCCCAGATTTGCATAATTACCATAGTTTATTTTTGAGCCTGCCACTCAAGGGCCAGATCCTATTTTTAGTTAGCCTCAGTCGTATTCTGCTCAGCCTTTGCAGCTTCATAGGACTTGGTACAAGAAGTCACATGCCTGTGGAAACTGTCCCTCCACATAAATCTCTTTGCACAGATATTACACTCATACGGCTTTATGCCTGTGTGAATTTTCATGTGGCCCACGAGATGATGCTTCATTTTGAATTTCTTACCACAGACACCACAGCCATAAGGCCGAAGACCAAGGTGCATGCTCATGTGTCGATCTCTCTGACTCTTGTGAGTGAAACTTTTCCCACACTGACAAGGATACAGCTTGTCAGTGGCTGAGAATCCTAAGTGGGAAGCTTCTTCTTTAATCCCTGCTACCATTTCAATATTCTCACTGTAGCCTGCTGCTAGGGCAGCCTCCTGTCTGTGCCCAATTAGATTCCCATCAGACCTCTCTCCAGAGAACTCTTCCATGGACGAGCCATAGAAATCCACCTGCTCATCATAATTGCCTTCATCAGCCTGTTCGTCAAACTCGGCTTCCACCTTTTTTTCCCCGATGTGAAAGTCTTCCTCTACTCCTGAAGGCTGGACTGAGTGCTCTGTCTGCATGGTATTGATGGACTCAGTGACCTGGTGCTCATCGTAGGGTGCATGCACATCCATGCCCTCGCACGCCTGTTCAAAGCGCTCGGGCTTTACATGGATCCAGCGTTTGTGAGCCATTATGCTGGGCTTGCTGTACATGGGCCGCGTGTAGTGGAACTCAGCGCTGTCACTGGCCCCCTCCTCCCCATCCTGGCTTGCCATTTCAGTGCTGAGCCGGTCATGCTCTGTGGACGAGTTGCTGGGAAGGTACTCGTGCTCAGTGAGCTGAGATGACAGCTCGTCTTTGGTGCTCTCCTCTTCATTCTCTCCATCCCTCAGTTCTTGGGCTTTGGGGAAATCAGTATGGCCCCCAGAGCCCAGCTCAAAGCTCTCTACCAGGCCATTATAACTACTGCTGCTGGGAGACTGGTGGTCACTGCCATGATTTAGCTTCTGACAAAGGACCGTAGGGTTTCCCTCTAAAACCTCAGTGCATTTGTCTACCACATGCCACATCTGGAGGAAGCTTGCTGCTGTTAAATAACTAACAATTTCTGGAGCAGGCATTACTAGACGTCCAGTATAACTAGATAGGAGAATGTTCTCAAACACTCTGGGGTTCATCACATCAGGCAAAACAATCCTCCTGCTGTTTTTCAGGAGTACCTGGTCGCAAAAGTAGGGTGAACTGGCAGCAAGAACAGCTTTGTGTGCCCGGAAAATGTGGCCTTGGACAACAATGGAGACATCACACAATTGTCCTTGCTGGCGCTGCTGGTTCAGTTTCTGCAGAATGGTGCTGGAAAAATCAGGAAATTCTACTCGAAAAGAGTTTGTTCCAGGCTCCATTTCATCACAAATCTTGTTCAGTGCTACAAGAGAAAGAAAAATTAGTACTAATTCCAGCCCAAAAGGAAACTTATTGATCACTACGAAAACTAAGACAAGTTCCGTAGTTCTGTAAAGTCTCCTTGCCCGTGGGCACCAGTGGGTGGAGCATTCATTCCCCAGAGCAAGGCTTGCAGGTGTGTGAGTGTGCCAAAGCAGGAACCACCCACCACTCTTCACGGTATTAAGTCTTGATTTTGCCCCTGTCTGTGACTGACAGAATAGAATCCACAGAGATATTTGTAAGCTATACAAATCCCCTAAATATAACAAAGTAAATATTTCTAGTCAAAACAAACATGATACCTGTCAAAATGACAGAATTTTTAGGAGGCCTCAGATTCAACCCACATTTGCCAAGCTGGGGTGAGAAAGTAAGTGAGGATGGAATCGTGGGAAGAAGGAAAAATATACGTAAAGGCTCTGAGGCAGGAATGAACTCAGCAACTGCAGAAAACTGACAGGAGACACCAGGGTAGAATCCAGTGAGGGGGCCAAGGGGCTGAAGTGGCAGGGCCAAAACAATCATGCCTTTGGTCCTTCAGCACCACAGGGCAAACTCACTAAAGCCCCAAATAACATGGGTTTCTCTAAGTTGCTGTTAGAATTTTAGCCCTTTAAGAGCTTCTGATAATGTGAAGCAGAATGATCGGTAAGGTAAAGTATTCCTTCTATTTGGTGGTCTCCAAATTCTTTAAAAAGTTATACACCCAAGAGGATAGTAAATATTGTCCCTGTTACTGAATGAACTCAATCTGAAGATAAAGTTATAACAAAGAATAAGGGATTACCTGTGTTGTTACTGTAAATATACATTGTGGGGTATGTCAAGCATTAGAGATGATACCTAACAATAGCAATCAACAAGATGAACTCTGCTGGAGATCCTGCTCACGCCCCGTAATTCCACAGTAAATTAAAACAAACCAGAAAACCCAACAGATTTATAGGTGCTATCTGTCACCTGGCTCTAAGACTCTATCCAAACATTGCTAACTGCCAGGTTTTCTAAGTATGAGATAAAAGAATCAGACAACCCAAACAAAGATATCAAACAAAGTTATCTTTGAGAGAGAGAGGGAGAGATGCCAAGAGAAGAAACTAACCTTTCTTGAGTTAATTACCATATACTAGGTACTGCATATTATTATACTTTTGGTTTACAACTCCTTTTTTCCTTGTATGATTTAAAAGGCAAATGAATAAAACAACAATTATAAATCTATGTTAATAGACACACAATATATAAGATGTAATCTGTAACAATAACAATATGAAGGGAGAGAGATGGAGATGTATAGGAGCAGAGTATTTGTATACTATTGAAACTAAGTTTCAATTAGTCAAACTAGGTTGTTACAAGTTTAAGATGTTAATTGTAAACCTCAAGGGAACTACTAGAAAAATAACTAAAAATATACATGAAAAGGAAAGAAGGGAATCAAAATGGTATACAAAAAATATATATATATATTTTTAAAAGGCAGTTAGGGAAGACTTCAAGACAAAAAACATACGAGATATAGAGAAAACAGCTAAATGGTAGAAGTAAATCCTTCCTTATCAGTAAATACTTTAAATGTAAATGGATTAAACTCTCACTAAAAGGCAGACTGGATTAAAAAACATGATTTATCTATATGTTGTCTATAAGAGACTCACTTTAGATATAAAAGCACAAAGAGGTGAGAGAAAGTAAAATGATGGAAAAAGATATTCCATGCAAATATTAACTAAAAGAGAGCTGGGATGGCTATATTATTATCAGACAAAATAGATTTTTAAGTCAAAAAGGTTACAAGAACAAAGAAGGACATAAAATATTGATAAAGGGTCCAATCTATCGAGCAGATATAACAATTATAAAACATATGTGCACCTAACAAGAGAAATACATATGAAGCAAAAATGAACAGAATTGAAGAGAGAGACAAATCTACAATAAAATGTGGAGACTTCAATACTTCACTTTCAATCACGGATAGAAAAACCAGACAGAAGATCTGTAAGGAAACAGAGGACTTGAATAACATTATAAATCAATTATACTTCTTAAAAGACATACAGAATGCCATCAAAAAGGAATGACGTTCTGATACATGCTCACTACATGGATGAACACTGAAAACACTATGCTAAAACATCATGCTAAACATTAACTTAAATAAACCAGACACAAAAGGACAAATGTTGTATAATCACAAAAGGACAAATGTTGTATAATTCCACTTACGTGAAATACCTAGAAGAGGCAAATTCAGAGACAGAAAGTAGATTAGAGGTTATAAGGGGCTCAGAGTAATGAGGAATGGGAGTTATTGCTTAATGAGCAGAATGTTTCTGTTTGGGGTGATGAAAAATTCTGGAAACAGAAAATGGTGCTGGTTGCACAACATTGTGACTGTAATTAACGCCACTAAACTGTACACTTGAAAATGGTTAAAGCGGCACACTGAATGATATATATATATATATATTTTACCACATATTAAAAAAAAAACTGGAAAAAAAGTCACGTAACTTCATTTTTAACTGTGTAAAGGTGGTAATAGTCCATGTAATTTAATAAGCTTCTGACTTCCGCCCTTAACTTTGGGCGAGTGTGGCATTTCTACATATTCCCTGACCTTAGTAACATGCAAAGCCTGAACATCTCCTACAGGTTTTCCTGCTACATAAGCAATATTTACAAACTCACAGCCAGCTGTGACCTATATTAATAGCATAGTTGCTGTTTCAATTGTTTAAAAGACTTTCATAGATGTAATTAACTCACTAAAAAAAAAACATAAAAAAACCCCACAACATAAAACACTATATGCAAGGTACTGTGGGGGATTTCTAAGATGATAAAGGAATGTCACTGTCCAGAGTTTTTTAATCTGCTAGGGGAGACAAAAAAACATGCATACAACCCTATTATTCAAGGCAAAGCCTGATAAAAGCACCACAAGAAATTACAAATCCAGGAGGAACTCAGAGGAGGGGACCAGGTATACCCTACAGTTAAATATCCCGTCACTAGAAATTTGGGTGTCACCAGGGTAAGAGGAAGCCTTGAGAATAGCATATAATTCCTTCCATCCACATTTTAACCAAAATAATCTAAGAAATATGGAAAAAGCGGCCTGAGTCCCAGAAAGGAGGGATCAAAGTTATCTATATGCCACAAACTTTAATCAAGGATATAGTGAAGATCAGGCCAGACTACAGGGAGACATTGCCCCTGCAACTCCACCTGCTATACCAAGCAATCCTGGTACAGGAGCAGCAATGCTGACAGAGGACCACAAATTTGGAAGGCCTATAGCTAAAAAGTCCTGCAGACTGACAACATTCAGAGGTGGCTGCATAGGGATACCAAAGATGCATATTGCCTCAGCAGAAATCTTTTAAAAACTTAACAGGAGAGAGTGGGCTCATTAGTAGCCCAAGAAAGAAGCAAAGACATAGCCAACTGGGCCAAAGAGACAAAAGGAGGCCCCTGGCATCACAATTTCACCAACATAGAAGGAAGTGCACAGAGCTCGAGCTCTCCTCACAGTGCCTAAGATCTACCCTCCCGCCCCAGTCACTCCACTCAAGCTAACCCCTGTTGTCAATATGGTTCAGCCCATCCTCCAGCTCAAGAGTTGAGAGTTGATTCTAACAGCATGCAGGTGTATAGTGAAGGCCCCAAAAGCAATCACCCACAAAGCGGGAAAATTTGCGACTCAAACAGAATGTTTCCCTCTAAAGAGTTAATGAACAGAATAAAACCGTTTACTACAGAATAAAACTGTATTCAGTACAGTTTTATTTGTTTACAGAATAAAACTACTGGTTTTTATTTTATTGGTTTTATTCTGTAAACAAATGCGTCTGTAAATAGATTCTACAACAACAAAGAAGAAGAAAATAGCAAGGGATAGATGAAGAGTACAGTTTAGATAGCATTTTTAAACTGTTTTCCACAAACTTATGAAAACATGGTCTCTATGAATAAACTATAAGGAAGATAAGACAAAATAGCATAATGATATGAAAAAAAGAGCTGACAATTAAAGACAAGATGTAAGGAAACTAATAAATTTAAATAGGCAATAAGGAGCAGAACTGCAACTGCAGAAAATGGAACCAATGATGTGGAAGCCACTTTGGGGGAACTTTATTATTAGAATGCAAGAGACTAAAACTATGAAAACAGCAAGAGAAGATAATAGAACAGGAGAACCGAGAACAGAGATCCAATGTACGGCTAATTAGTGTCCTTGAGAGAAAGAACAAAACGAATGGAGCAGAAGGAATATCAAATAAAAATTTTAATAGAAGAAAACTCCCCTGCATAGAAAACTTTGAGTATTCAGAAGAGTCTTGCCCCAGCAGTGGGGACAAATTAGCCCCACACAAACTGCAGTTCTGGTCCTGTTAAACAAAGCTTAAAAACAAGTCTCAAAAGGATCAAACTATTTCCAAGTAACTTAATTGTGTTCCAGAACAAAGCTGGAATATATTTACATAATACAAAAATATCCAGAACCCAAAAAGGTAAAATTCATGACTAGCATCCAATTAAAAAATCACCAGGCATGCAAAGAAGCAGGAAAATATAACCTATAACAAGGAGAGAGAGAGAGAAAAAAATCAATCAATAGAAACAGATAAAGAAATGACAAATTTATACAATTGGTAGAAAATTCTATATTCTGTATGTTCAAGAAAATAGAGGAAAATTAAGCATATAAGGTAGACAGGTAAGCTATATAAAAAGACCAAAATCGAACTTCTACAGACTCAAGCAAACACACACTAGATGGGAGTAACAAAATACTGCAAAAGAAAAGATTAGTGAACTTGAAAACATAGCAATAGAAACAACCCAAAATAAAACAGAGAGAAAAAACACACACCGCCCCCCCCCCCAAGGGAAGGGGGAACAGAACATCAGCGAGCTGTGGGACAACTTCAAGGTGCCTAGTTGGGAGTCCCTGAAGGAGGAGAGAGG